AAAGAAAGAAAGAAAGACATCTGAGTGAGCCATGGATGGACAGAAGACATGGCTAGTCTAGTGAAGAGAAGGACCAGGGGAGACAGGGAGCATCTTCCAATATTTGAGGGGCTGCTGCCCCAGAGAGGAGGAAGGGGGTCAAGCTATTTTCCAAAGCACAAGAAAGAAAGAAAAAGAAAGAAAGAAAAGAAGGAAGAAAGGAAAGAAAGAAAGAAAGAATAAGAAGGAAGGAAGGAAGAAAGGAAAGAAAGAAAGAAAGAAAGAAAGAAAGAAAAGAAAGAAAGAAAGAAAGAAAAAGAAAGAAAGAAAGAGAAAGAAAGACAGACATCTGAGTGAGCCATGGATGGACAGAAGACATGGCTAGTCTAGTGAAGAGAAGGACCAGGGGAGACAGGAGAGCATCTTCCAATATTTGAGGGGCTGCCACAGAGAGGAGGAAGGGGGTGAAGCTATTTTCCAAAGCACCTGAATGCCGGACAAGGAATGATGGATGGAAACTCAACAAGGAGAGATTCAACCTGGAAATAAGGAGAAATTTCCCGACAGTGAGAACAATCAACCCATGGAACAGAAGTTGCCTTTGGAAGTTGTGAGAGCTTCATCCCTGGAAGCTTTCGAGAAGAGACTGGACCGCCATCGGTCAGAAATCATGTAGTATCTCCTGCTTGGTAGGCCCGTTTTTTTTTGCCCTCCCCAGGCGCCAGAGTCTTTCTAGGAGCCTCTGGGGAGGGCAAAAACAGCCTTCCCTACCCCTTTCTGTTTGCCGACTTCCGGTGAGCCCAGAAGGCCCAAAAATCAGCTGGCCAACACACGCATGCATGCTGGAGCTGAGCTAGGAAATGCTCGCGTGCCCGCCAATCTGGCTCGGCGACGTGCCACCTGTGGCACGCGTGCCATATGTTCGCCGTCACAGGCGTAGGGTTTCCTGCTTGGGTGGAAGGGTGGACTAGATGACCTACAAGGTCCCTTCTAACTCTATTTATTTATTTATTGGTTCGATTTATATGCCGCCCTTTCTCCGGAGACTCAGGGCGGCTTACAATGCATTAAGCAATAGCCTTCATACTTTTGTATATACCTGCTTAGTAGGTAGTAGTATACTTAGTAGGTATATAGTATATATAAGTAGGTATTTCGGGGGCCCCTAAGCAGTGTTCTTTTTTTTATACAAAGTCAGCTTATTGCCCCCCACAATCCGGGTCCTCATTTTACCTACCTCGGAAGGATGGAAGGCTGAGTCAACCTTGAGCCTGGTGAGATTTGAATTTAAAGTAATTGCAGGCAGCTGGTGTTACTTAACAGCGCTTTAGTCTGCTGCGCCACCAAGGCTCTCTTGGTGATAATGCCTTGGTAAGGCCACACCATATTATTAAAAAAAGAGGTTGAGACTCTGGAAAGAGTGCAGAGAACAACAATAAAGATGCTAAAAGAAGGGGCTGGAAGGTAAGACGTACAATGAACTCGTTTGTAGGATTTGGGTAGGTCTAGTCTAGAAAGAAGGAGGACTATGATAGCAGTCTTCCAATATTTGAGGGGGCTGCCCCAAAGAAGAGGGGGGGGTCTAACTATTCTCCCAAGCACCAGAAAGCAGGACAAGAAGCAATGGAAATTTAATCAAGGAGAAAACCAATTCAGAAAAAAAAGAAACGAGAGATTTTCTGACAATTAGAAGAATTAACCCGTGGAACTGCTTGCCACCAGAAGTTATGGGTGCTCCACCACTGAAGGTTTCTAAGAAGAGACCGGACAGCCATTTGTCTGAAACGGTACAGTAGAAGACCTCCAAGGTGAACCAGTGGTGAAATCCACATTTTTTTTTACTACCGGTTCTGTGGGCGTGGTGCGGCTTGGCGGGCGTGGCTTGGTGGGCGTGGCAGGGGAAGGATACTGCAAAACCGCCATTCCCACCCCGCTCCTGGGGGAAGGATACTGCAAAATCCCCAATCTCTCCCCACTCTGGGGCCAGCCAGAGGTGGTATTCGCCGGTTCTCCGAACTACTCAAAATTTCCGCTACCAGTTCTCCAGAACCTGCTGGATTTTCACCCCTGTTCTTCCAACTCCGATGTTCTAATCGTTTTACTCCGTTCTGGATTTCTTCTGAAACTTTAGCCTGCACCCTTTTCAGGCTGATTTTTTTAAGCGGTTCCTCTAGGTGGCTAGTCCTCATGATTCTCAGATAAAAAAAAACCTCTCTATTTTATTTTATTTTTTTCCCCCTTCCTTTCTTTCCCAACCTCGCCGGCGAGAATTGAAGCAAACGTCGCCTTTCTAATCCAATTGGCACTGCCCTCTTTAACCGGGGCGCGGCGGGAGGGGAGGAGACCGTAATGCCTTGGGAAAGGATGATGGGATGTATGTGCACCATTTAACCATTTCGTGCTTTTAAAAAAAAAGGCAGGGGTGAAAATTCGCTGCATTGTGAATTTAATAGCACAGGCCTCCTGCCTGAGAAGGGGGTTGGACTGGATGACCGCCAAGGTCCCTTCCAAATCTAATATTATTGTATTCCTGGCCCCTTGGTTACCTCCCCCTCTCTCCCCACCCAACCCAGGAGCCCCCATCTGACATATTTCTTTTCCCCCTCCCTCCAGACAATTCTGGTTTGTTTTGACTTCCAGCCCGTTAGAAAATTAAGTCCTTTTATTTGACACGCAAAACGCACGCACACAATATTCGGGGTTTTTTGTTTGTTTGTTGCTTCGACTTTCCACCCCACCAAGGAGACCACATCAGCGGTCAGAGTCAATGAAACCCCCCACCCACCCACCCACACATACACACACAGGGGTGAAATCTAAAATTTTTCCCTACCGGTTCTGTTGGATATGGCTTGGTGGATGTGGCAGGAGAAGGATACTGCAAAATCTCCATTCCCTCCTCACTCCAGGGGAAGGATACTGCAAAATCTCCATCCCCACTGCAAAATCTCCATTCCCACCCCACTCCAGGGGAAGGATACTGCAAAATCTCCATTCTCTCCTCACTCCAGGGGAAGGATACTGCAAAATCTCCTTTCCCTCCTCACTCCAGGGGAAGGATACTGCAAAATCTCCTTTTCCTCCTCACTCCAGGGGAAGGATACTGCAAAATCTCCATTCCCACCCCACTCCAGGGGAAGGATACTGCAAAATCTCCATTCCCTCCTCAATCCAGGGGAAGGATACTGCAAAATCTCCTTTTCCTCCTCCCTCCAGGGGAAGGATACTGCAAAATCTCCATTCCCTCCTCATTATTCCCTCCTCACTCCAGGGAAAGGATACTGCAAAATCTCCTTTTCCTCCTCCCTCCAGGGGAAGGATACTGCAAAATCTCCATTCCCTCCTCCCTCCAGGGAAAGGATACTGCAAAATCTCCATTCCCTCCTCACTCCAGGGGAAGGATACTGCAAAATCTCCATTCCCACCCCACTCCAGGGGAAGGATACTGCAAAATCTCCATTCCCATTCTACTCCAGGGAAAGGATACTGCAAAATCTCCATCCCCACTGCAAAATCTCCATTCCCACCCCACTCCAGGGGAAGGATACTGCAAAATCTCCATTCCCTCCTCACTCCAGGGGAAGGATACTGCAAAATCTCCATTCCCACCCCACTCTGGGGCCAGCCAGAGGTGTTATTTGCCGGAACGACTCAAAATTTCCGCTACCGGTTCTCCAGAATCTGTCAGAACCTGCTGGATTTCACCCCTGCCCTCACAGCAGACCCAGAGGGTTCCTTTCCCCTCCACCCACTCCCCCCATTCCCGTATCGCAAGATCCCCCCCTTCTCACACACACACTTAGCCATCGGAAGACATCAAACAAAGTGTATTTAGGGGCTTGTATCCCACGAGAATTTTTTTTTTCCAAAAAAAATAGTTTTTAACAAGTTCGGAGTGGGAGAAATCACCCTGAGCAGCGTGGGATCCATCCGTGGTGTGTTGACTCCAGATGCAAAAGAAGCTAGTGGGGGAAAGGGAGGGAATCCGGTTGCTTCCGAAGTCATGAGGACTAGAAACTTAAAACTCCCCTGCTTGGCAGAACAACCAGCGCTGGGGTGGAGAGGGGGGGCGTTCAGGGGGAAGAAAGACCCCCCCCCTGCGGTGGCACACAAATCCAACTTCTTCTTTTTTTTTTTTCCCTTCTTCTTCTTTTGTTTTCCCCGCTGTCAGGACAGCCGCTCCCCACACTTTGGATTAAAGGCACCCCCAGATTTCCAGGTCGCTTCCAAGTTGCGATGGGAAGGGGCTTCTGCGGGCCCCACCCCAAAAAAGTCTTTTTACTCCAGCAATCAAGGTCTGAGTCGGTTTGGGGCTCATCCTGAGCCTGGGAGGGGAATTTGGGGAGGGGGGGTTGTAAACCAGCGTCGGGCACCCCTCCAAGCTGGGTCTCTGCTGCATCCTGGCAGGCTGGCATCCCAGATGTGGCAAAAGGGAGGGGAGACCCTCTGTGGCATTTGCCCCCGCGGGTGAATTTTTATATTTTGGTCCTTGTGCCCGCCTGGCACAATGCCATCCAATGTGCCCCCCCCTCACTTCCCCGGTGCTGTGGCTCGTAGTTCAGACACTGGTCCGGCAAGTGGCCGGTTGGCAAGGCCGGGAGGAGGATGAGGAGGATGGCGGGGCCGTTTTTTCCGACGTGTTAATCACCCACCGGTAACACTGGGTGACGCTCCTGCTTTTGGCCTGAGCTCCGCAGCGGGTACAGTAAACGATGCCCAGAGCCAACATGATCACCAGAAAGATAGAAATGGGCACCAGTAATGCCACTAAGAGCCAACGGTCATCCTTCCTCTGCCTTTCCTCCCCAGAAGCCGGGCTGGGGGTGGCAGAAGTGGGGAGGGGCGCCCTGACTCCCCCAACGACGGGGTCCACCTTCTCCTCCGTGGGACCCCCAGAGGGTAACGGAGGGGTCGTCAGAGGGTCCCCCGAGGTGGGAAGAAGGGTCCCCGTGACATCCAGAGGCAGGGACCCAAAAACAGACGTCGGAAGAGGAGGAGGAGGATCGGAAGCCGAGGGGTTGGGATGGAGGACCTCGGGGTGCCCCGTCGAGGAGGAAAAACCGTGCTCCAAAGGAGAAACGCGCGAGTCCCAAGCGATGTCAAACTCGGGAGCCTCCGTGGCTGGCACCGGAGGGGGAAAAACCAACCGGTCGGGCACCGACAAGAAAGAAGCGGCGGAATCCGACGAGGAGCCGGCCTCCCCGTCGCGGAAAAGCGAGAAGCGAACCGGAGGGATGCTGAGATCCTCGGCTTCCCTGGTGGTGAAGCGCACGGGGAAAGGATCCGGCCAGACCTCGGGCGGAGTGGCATCGGGGCCTTCCAAGCCATCGACGGGGCTGCAGCTGATGCCGTCGGCTTCCAGGTCGAACCCTTCGGTGCAGTAACACTCAAAGCCACCCACGTAGTTCACGCACATCTGTTGGCACACGCCGGGGATCTGGCACTCGTCGGTATCCACGCACTGCCCGGGCTCGTCTTCGGCAGGGCTGAAACCCAAGTGGCAACGGCAAAGGTAGGAACCCTCGGTGTTCTCGCACTGATGCTCGCACGGAGCATCCAGGCACTCGTCTAAGTCCTCGCACTGGTGCCCGTCGGATGCCAGCTCGTACCCGGCTGGGCACCGGCAGCTATAGCCGTCGGTGCTGTCTTCCTCCACCACGCAGTCGAACTGGCACGGCCGGCGTCGACAGGGGTCGTTGGCGGCACAGGAGTGGCCGTCGGGGAGCAGGAGGTACCCCGCGTGGCACTCGCAGGCGTAGCCGGAGCCCTCGTCCAGGCACAGCTGCTGGCACCCGCCATTGTCGCCCTCGCACCAGCTGCCCGCCGAAGCCGACGACGACGCCGACGACGCCGAGCCCCCCGACGGCTCCCGACACAGCGGAGGGCCCTTGGACCAGCCCACGTGCCCGTCCTCCTTTTGCAGGCACAGCAGAGACAGCGAAGGCCCACCGGGGCAGCCCACGGAGGCCACGGTCCCGAAGGGCACGAAACGCGGAGGAGCCCCGACGGCAGAGGATGCCAGCGGCCCGAAAGGCGCGGCGTAGCTGATGCTGGCCCCGTCGCCTTCCTCTTCCAAGCCGGCGCACATCCCACGGAAGGCAAAACGGCACAGGTAGCCGTCCACGGGACCCATGCAGGATCCTTCCAGCCACTGGAAATCCCGGTCGTCCAAACCCACGCAGCGAGGAGCCGCGCAACCGGCTCCCCCGACGGCTGCGCTGGCCCTGGCCCAGTTGCTGTAAGCCGTCTCCTGCTCGCCAGTCACCCAGCTGAAACCGCGCAAGGGCCTCTGCGGGAAACACTGTCGAGGTTGGCGCTGCAGCCCGATCCAGAACAGACGGGGCGGACCAGGTTGGCGGCTCCCGGCTAGCAACTGGCTAACCTGAGCCGCCTCTTCGGCTCGTTTCAAGGTCGCCAGGTTGCCTCCGAGCTCCCGGCAAGCCCGCCAGGCTTCTAAAAAGCTGCGCGGATGGGTGTAGAGCGCGTAGCAGCCTTCAGGATCGCAACTGGCTTCAGGATCCGGCCGGGCAGGCAGTGGCAGCTGGAGGAGCAAGAGCCCCACCAAGCCGAGAGGCAGCCGAGGGACCAGCATGGTTGTGTTGCTGCTGCGGTGGGCTTTCGGCTCTCTGAGAGACCCTCCAACCTCTCAATTCCCGGCCTTCTTTCCCCTCCCCGTCTGGGAGGAAGGAGGCGCTGGGCTTCTCCGATCCCCGCCTTCGGACCTTCTAAGGCGCGGATTTGAACTCCTGCCACGCAGGGAGGGAAGGGAGGGAGGGGAAAAGGCAAAGGCAAAGCAGGCAGGCGGAGAAGGTCTGGGGGCGTCGGGGGGGGGAAAGTGAGTGGGTGGGCAGTGGAAGCATCTGCCTTGTGCCTTTTCTGGTCTAACCGCTAGGCCGCACTGTCGCTGGGAGCCTCCTCTGATTTCAAACCCTGCCACGGGATGCCAGGAGGAGAGCTAGTCAGTTTTGAACAAGAGTTGGAAGGGAGCTTAGAGGTCATCCAGCCCAACCCCCTGGTCACACAGGAGAGCTGTAACTAGGGATTCGAAACAGTTCTGATCGACAAGCTCGGTGTCTTAGCCACAGAGCCACCTAGCTTTATGAGATTAAAAGTGGGGGGGGCGGCAAGGGGAGGTTTCAGGCTGGGCTGAGCTTCCGAAACTGATGTTGAGGGGCTGCCCCAAAGATTCGGGATGGGGGGGGTGTTCAACTTATTTTCCAAAGCCCCAGAAGGCAGGACAAGAAGAAGCAACAGATGGAAACTAATCAAGGAGAGAAGCAACCTGGAATTAAGGAGAAATTTCCTGACAGGGAGAACAATTCACCGGTGGAACAGCTTGCCACCAGAAGTTGTGGGTATTCGATCATGGAGGCTTTTAAGAAGAGATCGGACAGCCATTTGTCCGGAATGCTATAGGGTTTCCTGCCTGAGCAGGGGGTTGGACTAGAAGACCTCCAAGACCCCTTTCAACTCCGTTATTCTGTGTTCGGCGTGGAGTTTACTGTCCACCCACTTTAAAGGACGCTGGCTGGGGAATTCTGGGAGTTGAGGTCCATCCACTTTAAAGGACGCTGGCTGGGGAATTCTGGGAGTTGAAGTCCACCCGTCGCTAGCTGGGGAATTCTGGGAGTTGAAGTCCATGTATCTTAAAGGACGCTGACTAGGGAATTCTGGGAGTTGAGGTCCATCCACTTTAAAGGACGCTGGCTGGGGAATTCTGGGAGTTGAAGTCCATCACTTTAAAGGAAGCTGGCTGGGGAATTCTGGGAGTTGAAGTCCATCCACTTTAAAGGAAGCTGGCTGGGGAATTCTGGGAGTTGAAGTCCACCCACTTTAAAGGAAGCTAGCTGGGGAATTCTGGGAGTTGAAGTCCACCCGTCGCTAGCTGGGGAATTCTGGGAGTTGAAGTCCATGTATCTTAAAGGACGCTGGCTGGGGAATTCTGGGAGTTGAGGTCCATCCACTTTAAAGGACGCTGGCTGGGGAATTCTGGGAGTTGAAGTCCATCCACTTTAAAGGATGCTGGCTGGGGAATTCTGGGAGTTGAAGTCCATCCACTTTAAAGGATGCTGGCTGGGGAATTCTGGGAGTTGAAGTCCATCCACTTTAAAGGACGCTGGCTGGGGAATTCTGGGAGTTGAAGTCCACCCATTGCTAGCTGGGGAATTCTGGGAGTTGAAGTCCATGTATCTTAAAGGACGCTGGCTGGGGAATTCTGGGAGTTGAGGTCCATCCACTTTAAAGGATGCTGGCTGGGGAATTCTGGGAGTTGAAGTCCATCCACTTTAAATAAAACATGCTGGCTGGGGAATTCTGGGAGTTGAAGTCCATCCACTTTAAAGGATGCTGGCTGGGGAATTCTGGGAGTTGAAGTCCATCCACTTTAAAGGACGCTGGCTGGGGAATTCTGGGAGTTGAAGTCCACCCATCGCTAGCTGGGGAATTCTGGGAGTTGAAGTCCATGTATCTTAAAGGACGCTGGCTGGGGAATTCTGGGAGTTGAAGTCCACCCATCTTAAAGTTGTCAAGATTTGAGAAACACTAAAAGGGAATTCCTGCAAACCTGACTTGGCCCAAAGTGCATGCCATCCCCGCCAGAATTCCTCTGCTACAAGCTATCAGCCTCTGCAGTTCCCAAATTCCATCAGCTGGGCCAGGTATCTGGCTCGGGGGCCTTAATATCTCGCGTTCGTGCCATGTCTTAACATACCTGGGCATCGAGCTGGTGGCTCACACAATAAACCAAAAACACCGGAGAAAGAAAAACCCAGGCGATCAAGTCTGAAAGAGTGACCCGATAACACACAAACACACAAACACACAAACCTCACACATACACACAGGCTGTGCTCTGCAGTTTGCTTTGGCACGCTCTGAAGCCAGCAACCCCATTTGGCTCCGTCCGTGCATCCATTCCAACCCCAATCCGCCCTAGGTAAAAGGAGGAAGCGTTTCTCGAACTCGGATTCGGAGACACGTATCCATGTATTTTTTTTGGCTAGAGGGGAAATTGGTTTGGGTCACTGCCAAAAACAGACTCGATTTTGGCTTGGATTTAAACCGTACCGCACAGTCACCGAAGGCCTTGCAAGCAGGATGGGTGGCCCGGCCCAAAGAGAGGGAGGAATTAAGCAACAAAGCTTCTTCCATGCTAAAACACTAAAACATCTTAATTTCAGGATAATTAATCCAGGATTAAACTGGCCTGGGAAACCGTCTTTATTTCCTGGAGCAAAACTCGTCGGAATGTCGGCTGTATTTGATGGCCAAGTTTTCCTAAGCTTTTCTTCTCATGACACGATCATGCCTCCCTCCCCTAACCCATCCTGCTAAATTATTATTTTGTTTTAATGAGCCTTGGTGGCGCAGCAGACTAAAGTGCTGTTAAATAGCACCAGGTGCCTGCAATTACTGCAAGTTCGAATCTCACCAGGCTCAAGGTTGACTCAGCCTTCCATCCTTTCGAGGTAGGTAAAATGAGGACCCGGTTTGTGGGGGCAATAAGCTGACTTTGTATAAAAAAAAGAACACCGTTTAGGGGTGGGGGCGAAAGCCCTACTAAGCAGGTATATACAAAAGTATGAAGGCTATTGCTTAACGCATTGTAAGCCGCCCTGAGTCTCCGGAGAAGGGCGGCATATAAATTGAACTAATAAATAAATAATAAATAAATAATGGCAGAGTGACGGGTGCCAAGCAGGATAAGGCAAGGTAGAGAAAAACATGGATGATGAGCGTAAGAAATTGGAAGGGAATTTTCAAGCTTAACTGGAGATGAAGTAGAAAAAACAGAAACCAGGGGTGAAATCCAGCAGGTTCTGACAGGTTCTGGCGAACCCGTAGCGGAAATTTTGAGTTGTTCGGAGAACTGGCAAATACCACCTCCGGCTGGCCCCAGAGTGGGGTGGGAATGGAGATTTTGCAATATCTTTCCCCCAGGAGTGGGGCGGGAATGGAGATTTTGTAGTATCCTTCCCCTGGAGTGGGGCGGGAATGGAGATTTTGTAGTATCCTTCCCCTGCCACGCCCATCACGCCCACCAAGCCACGCCCACAGAACTGGTAGTAAAAAAAATTGGATTTCACCACAAACAGAAATCCCTTTGCAGGAAAATGATTTTATATTTTTTTACATCCTTGTAAAGTTGAGTTTTTTTGCACAGCGTGACTGCTTGCTGTCCAGATGTAGCTCGGCTTCTGAATTTAATCACAGTCTGTAAAATCAGTTGAATACAATCAGGGTGGAAGCAGAGTGCCCTCAATTGCAAAGCGGAAAAACCAAGATTGAAATGAACTCAACAGTGCTCGGTTAGGTTTTTTTTTTTTAAAAAAGAGAAGGACTAGGAGTGACTTGATAGCAGCCTTCCAATATTTGAGGGGCTGCCCCAAAGAAGAGGGGGGGGTGTTTCAACCTATTCTCCAAAGCACCTGAAGGCAGGACAAGAAGCAACGGAGGGAAACTAATCAAGGAGAGAAGCAACTAGAAATTTCCTGACAGCGAGAACAATTAACCAGTGGAACTACTTGCCACCAGAAGTTGTAGGTACTCCGTCGCTGGACGCTTTTCAGAAGAGATGGGACAACCCTTTGTCTGAATTGGTATGAGGTCTCCTGCTTAAGCAGGGGGGTGGACTAGAAGACCTCCAAGGTCCCTTCCAAGCAGCCCTAGGATAACAGAATAACAGAATTGGAAGTTCAGCATATTTTTTGCAAACCCAGCCTGCTCGCTCTGCAACTTTGCACTTGGCCACACAATTCCTTAGTGCCTTTTGAGCATCCAAGAAATCAGAATAGAACTGATTGTTCTCACCGTCAGAAAATAACAGAATAACAGAGTCAGAAGGGACCTTGGAGGTCTTCTAGTCCAACCCCCTGCTTAGGCAGGAAACCCTACACCCCTTCAGACAAATGGTTATCCAACATTTTCTTCAAAACCTCCAGTGATGGAGCAATCGACAACTTCTGGTGGCAAGTTGTTCCACGGGCTAATTGTTCTCACTGTCAGGGAATTATCTCCTTAGTTCTAGGTTGCTTCTCTCCTTGCTGAGTTCCCTAATCTTAAATTTTGTGTTTGAAGCATTGTTTCTCCGATGATGGGTGCTCTCCATCACTGGAGGGTTTTTTTAAAAAGAAGAGTTCGGACAGCCATTTTGTCCAGAATGGTTTCCTGCTTGAGCGGGGGGGGGGGGGTTGGACTAGAAGACCTTTAAGGTCCCTTCCGACTCGGTTTACACCGTTCGTTTAAACTGTAGTGCCCGCTAGCCGAAACCAACCCCTCGGTTTTTCTGGGAGGTTTATTATTATTTATTTATTTATTATTCAAATTTCTATACCGCCCTTCTCCTTTCGGACTCAGGGCGGTGAACAGCCAAAATAAAAACATCTATACATAACCTTACAGTTAAAAATAGAGTTAAAATAATTTATAAATTTGGCCCGTAATTTAAAACTTGTCAATTTAAAATCAATATTAAAATTTTAAAACTAACCCTAAAATCAAGACAGAACGGCTAACTGAAAAAATAAGTTTTTATTTAGGGCCCGACGAAAAGTCCGGAGGTCGGAGATCACTCGTATCTCTGGGGGTAGATTGTTCCATAGGGTAGGTGCCACCACAGAGAAGGCTCTCCTCCTGGGGGTCGCCAGCCGGCATTGTCTGGCCGACGGCACCCTGAGG